GCCCACCGTACCCAGCTTGTATACCCAACATACACGAGTATTGACCAAATATGGGCTGGTTGACTTAGTATGCCCGACATACCAGGATTACACCCAACGTACGCTGCCTTCACTCAAACCTTCCATTAAGAGCTTATTCCTTAAGCTCTTTTGTCCATATTCTAGATCTAGCCCTAAAATAATGTCCTTAACCATAAAGTTTCCAACTTTATGGTCTTGCATGGCCATTAAGTGCCCAAAAACAAAAACCCTAACTAGTTACCCCATTAAGACCTTGTAACTCATGCATGGAAGGAATATAACAATCAAGATTACATTTTTATGCTTCTAGATGCTTCAAAATGTCTGAAAGGACAACTTATATGGATTAGAGTAACCCATACTCATAATACCAAGCTTATGGGACCAAAAGAACATCATTTCATAACTAAACAAGATATAAACAACTCTTAATCAAGTTCATAGCTTTTTACCTCCAAATGATGCCAAATGATGTTGCTATTCTGGATCCAAAGAGTCACACTACTCCAAGATGATCTTCTCTTCTTCCTCTCTCCTTCAAGCTTACCAAAACATACACAAAATGCTCGAGACAACTTAAGGCACACGAAGTCAACTACACAACTCACGATCTTGAGTTGGGAGCAGTGGTCTTTGCACTAAAAATCTGGAGGCATTACCTTTATGGTACCAAGTGCACTATCTTAACCGACCACAAAAGCCTTCAACATATATTTGATCAGAAGGAACTTAACATGAGACAACGACGATGGGTAGAACTACTCAATGATTACGAATGCGAAATTCGCTATCATCCCGGTAAAGCCAATGTAGTAGCTGATGTCATTAGTCGAAAAGAGTACTCAGGTAGTAGGGTGAAGGCACTAACCATGACAATCCATTCCCATCTGTCCACACAAATCAAAGAGGCTCAATTGGAAGTATTACAACCAGAAAACGTGGCAGATGAAGCCTTGCGAGGAATGGAGAAGAACTTTGAGATCAAGGGAGACGGAGTTCGTTATTTCATGAACCGGATCTGGACCCCAAAGTTCGGTGGTTACAGAGATGTAGTCATGAATGAATCACATAAGACTCGATAGATAAGATGTATCTGGATCTCAAGAAACTCTATTGGTGGCCAAACATGAAAGCAAAGATTGTTACCGACATGGGCAAGTGCCTAACTTGCGCCAAAGTTAAGGTAAAATACCAAAAGCCCTCAGGTTTACTTCAACAACCAGAAATACCTTAGTGGAAGTGGGAACATATTACAATGGACTTCATAACCAAGCTACCCAAGTCTACGGTTGGTCATGACACCATTTGGGTAATCGTCGATAGATTAACCAAATCTGCCCACTTCCTGCCAATCAAAGAAACATACAAGATTGAGAAGCTGACCCGGACTTACATCTGAGAGATAGTACGACTGCACGGTGTGCCCATGTCTATTATCTCGGATAGAGATAGTAGATTCACCTTGCGATTTTGGCAGTCACTTCAGAAGGCTCTTGGGACTAAGCTGGACATGAGCACATCTTACCATCCTCAAACTGACGGGCAGAGTGAGAGAACCATTCAAACGCTAGAAGACATGCTGAGAGCATGTGTGATCGACTTTGGTAAAGAATGGGATACCCATTTGCCATTAGTCGAGTTTTCATATAACAACAGCTATCACACCAGCATCAAAGTTGCTCCATTCGAAGCCCCCTATGGCCATAAGTGCAGATCCCCTCTGTGTTGGGCTGAGGTGGGTGACACGCAACTAGCTAAAGGGTAAGTCCCTGATAGCACTCTCACTGGCCCGAAAATCATTCGAGAAACCACATTGTACAAATCTGAGAACGACTAAAAGCCTCTAGAGATAGACAAAAGAGCTACGCCGATAAGAGACGAAAACCCTTAGAGTTCCAGGTTGGTGACCGCGTTCTATTGAAAGTCTCACCATCGAAGGGCTTGATACGCCTCGGAAAGCGCGGGAAACTAAATCCGAGGTACATTGGGCCATTCGATATCCTCACTAGAATCGGCCCCGTAGCTTACAAACTCCGTCTACCACAAGAACTTAACAAAGTACATCCCGTCTTCCATGTGTCAAATCTAAAGAAGTGTCTATCTGACGAGACTCTTGTGATTCCACTCGATGAAATCGAGATAAACGAGAGTCTTAACTTCGTGGAAGAGCCAGTAGAAATTATGGATAGGGAAGTCAAACGAACGAAACAAAGTCGCAATCCGATAGTGAAGGTTCGCTGGAATGCTAAGCGGGGACCTGAATTCACCTAGGAGCGAGAAGACCAGATCCAACAAAAGTACCCACATCTTTTCCCTAGTCCATGATGTCCTCACTATAGAAAGAATTTCGGGACGAAATTCCCTCTAACGGGGGGATACTGTAACAACCCGTCATTCTCAATTCAATAAGAGTCAAAAGTTTCATTTCGATCTTTACGTATAAATACATCCTCTATTGCCTCAAAGGCATATTTATGAGCTAATAATTAAAAATAGCCTAGGTCTTGGGTGAATTATGATATTATGACTTAACATAAGTGAATATTCTAAGGTTTAAAACATAAAATCAACTCCAAAATGGAGTTTACGGCCAAGGAATTCACCTCAAAAGGTGTTCACGGTCCAAGAGACACTAAAACAAGTTGTTTACAACTTGATTTTATTTCCAAAGAGGGTGTTTACGGTTTTGCATGCTCCAAAAAGGGTGTTTATGGTTGCTTTGATCCATAAACACAAACCAAAGCCTATTAAAGGCGAAAACCCAAAGGTGTAGAACCGTGAACCCAAAGCCATGACCCGTTTATGAAACATAAACACCCCCTATATATGTATTCACCCGTAAATCAATTCACTTCTCACCTTTTCAACCGTGAACCACTCCCAAATCCTCTCAACTATCATCCGTGAACAGCTCCTTTTTCTCTCAATCTTGAAGAGATTACGCCCATATTTCCTTCAAATCTTCATATTTCCCAAAAGAAAATTCAAACCCACATTCAAATCTTCAAGTGATCTTAAAATGTTCATAATTTTTCAAGATCCAACCGTAAACCCATTTATTCCAACCGTAAACCCTTATTTTCCAACCAAAAATCAATTTGCAACTACTCCAAACAATTTCCAATTAATTTGTAAGTATTCCTTATATAATTAAATTATTATTTAACTCATTATTTAAATTAATATATTATTAATTTAAATACGACGTCGAATATCATTATTTTTAGGATAACGTTATTTGCGCGTATGCTTACCCGGGGATCGTCTCTACAACTCGTTAATTCCAGTTAGCGCACATTTGAGGTGAGTTCGTACCCCTACGTTTTCAATATTTTTCCATTTTTTTAGGGGTAGAATACAAGTACAATGCAATTAAATTTGTGTAAACAGTCAAACGATTACAAAACAATTTTGAATGACATTAAACTGTTTTAAACAGTTGCAACCATTGTTCTTACGGTAACATATTTTATATATAAACACGATTACAATTCTTTAATCCTTTGTAACATGCTGAGCAAATGAATATTTTTCAGAATAACCACATCTCAAATGGAACATATTTATAAACTATAATTGATATAGTCTATGGAACCCGATAACCTATTTACAAAATACATAAATACAAAACAAACGAACATATGAACTATAATTGGTATAGTTTATGGAACATAAGTATTATCTCACTAAGTACATGTTTTATCATAGTAACGAACATATAAACTATATTAGGTATAGTTTATGGAACATATAAACAGACATTCATTTCAAAAGATTTTCAATTATTCTACACTTAACCGTCGATATAGCTTTGTGAGATAACGTCTTCAAGTACTTATTTAAGTGCCAACGAAAGTTCTGAGCTTAATAACCAGAGTCTCCTGGAGGGAGAGCGTGAGTTTGTGTATAGATCTATACGGGACTGACAAGCCCGCACCTCGACTGTTAGCTACAGTCAGGCCGGCAGACCTGGGGTGACAAATGTCATGAACGATTCCGACGCCTGAAGAACGTTGTGTCAGGCCATCCGTCGTATTAGTATGGTTATGAGAACTCACAATTTGTTATTGAACAAAACGATTAGTGTATGAATAAGTAACCACTTCGATCACATAGTTTTATTTAAATAATAAGGCTATAAAACATTGTTTTACAAGTACTACTGGTGAATCCAGAGGGTTTTAACATAAGTACGAATACAGGAGGCTATTCCAGCACAGAGATAACCTATATTAATAGTTTTATGTGAATTAAAACTAACTTTTTACTATTACAGAGTACTATTACATTTACACTTTTGGAGTTCAACAAATTACAACAGAAAATATAGGATTTTCTAGGAAAACAAACTTACATTTTCAAGGAACAAATTGATGGTTTTCAATTACAAACATGCTTATGAACTCACCAACTTAATGTTGATACACTTTCAAAATCACTTGTATTCTCAGGGAACCGATAAGACAGGTACACCCATAGATGTTTGAGAAGACGGAGCTTTTAGAGTCGCGTCTTTTATACTTTTGTTATACCTTTTGATGTCATACAAACTATGTTATGAACAGATGTAAATACTATATTTTATCAATGTAATGGTTGTGTTTGCTTGATTATTATTATACAATTGTTGTGATAAGGGCAAATGTCATATTAGCCCATCGAACTTTTCACGTTTTTTTTAAAAGGTCACTAAACTATTTTTTTTTGCACATTAAAGGAATATACTTTCATTTGACCGTTTAATTACATCCTTTTACCGATTATAAAAGGTTTATCCCATATTTTCGTGACATGTGGCACCACCGTGGAATATTAGTGTTGTAATCTTGGTCCCCAAGAATTGCCAAGTCATCGTTAATGGTCCCCCTTATAAATCCGTCTTCCCCTAAATTCGTCTTCCCCACCACTTTGTTACCCTAATCCGTAACCTTCACATAATACCACCGACTTCGTTTTTTTCCCACCTATAAGTCAAGGAGATGTCCTCAGAACAAAGTTTCTCTTATGGTGGTTTCCGAGCTTCGGAACTAGACTTACCAACTGATTCCGAACTTCACGCCATGGAAATCCAAGTGCAGATGGAGGAATTGAGAGATGAGGTGCGACAACAGCTTGGCGATTTTAGGGAGGAGATACGCTACTTGAAAAGGATAGTGAGCATGATGGGTGTTGTTGGAGTTGTAGTGATGTCGTTGATCGGGGTTCGTGTTTGCGTCGACTGCAGTGGATGGGGATTTTGGTGGGTGTAGTTTAGTTCGTAGCTAGCACGATGTCGATTAGTCTCTTTTGGGTTATCAGGGTTGTCGAAGGTTGTTTCTTTTTGTCTAATTTCGTCATCGGCTAGTATTATATGTATGTATTAGGTTATGTGTTGTTGGTTATTTTGACTAGTGGTGCCCATTGACGATGTATTGGTTTTTAGAACCAAATTTTTGGGGGTTTTTGGTAAGACAATAACCTCAGTTGTAATGGATGAATGAAATGAAATGTAGTTCCTATTATAACCATTGTTTTGCTTTGCATATGATGTTATGCTTTGTAATGAAATGTGCCCATGTGCTACCACATTGTTATGTGGAAGTACATTGTTATATGATTGTTATTTGTTATGTCAAATTACCTTGGAAGTACAATTATAAACAAACATTCATGTTATGTTTTAAACTAAAGAAACTAACATTCATGTTTCAAACGAATAACAAACATCATACATCCATGCATTCATTCATGTCATAACTTGGTGTTTTAAAGACACGTTAACAAACTAAACAAGACCATAACATCAAGACACATTTAATAAAGACCTCACATTGTAACTAACATACTCCAAAAACAAAACAGCTTTAATCCAAGTCCATTGGTTTTCTTGATGTATCACCTTCACCGTTTTTGCCTGCAACCTTTTTTGCCAACTTTTTCTTTAGTATCCTCTCTGACTTTTTCCTTAATTTCAATGTACCTACTTCTTTACCATTCTTCTTAGTCACACCACTTGTTGACCATATTCACCTTCTCCCGTTTTGAAACCAATTCCACTTCCAGTATCACCTTCACCCTTTCCTTTTTCCCCCTTTGCCCTTTGCCCTTGACCCTTCCCTTTCTTTAATGCACTAGTTTCACCTTCACCTTCTGCCTTCCTTTTTTGACCTCACTTTTTGGGCCTTTGACACTGCATCACAGGTTGACTTATTGTGGCCTGATTTCTTACAAACACCACATACCATCTTTTTCCCTGCCTTGGATACTTTGTGTGATCCACTAACCTCGGTACTGTCCCTCTTTCTATTAGTAATGGGTCTCCCTGGCATCTTCCTTTTCAAAGGTGGCAAAGGTGGTATGTAGTCTGTTGGGGGCCACATTGCACTCCCATTCATGCTTCCTATTGAGTACTTGTAGGTGTTCATATATATGCAAGCACGATATAAAGGATCAACAAATGCCTCTATATCTCTATTTACATAACTAATGGTTGCCACTGAGTGTACACACCCATACCCATTCATTTGCCAAATCCTACAAGTACATGTTTTCTTTTCCAAATCAACTCCATAAGACTCTCCTAAGTTTCTTGTTTCAAATGTATTCAGGCCACTAGGAAGCACTTGCCAGTACCTACAAATAATCACATTTAGCATGGCTAATAAAGTACATTGGTTGGGTATTCAATTGATTTATGGTGAATATTAAAGTACCTTTGTTGGATCTTCAATTCATTTATGGCAAGCCTTATGTTTGGACATACATCAAAGTGTCCCCATCCACTTCCTTTCTACCTTAAACTACACATCCTCTGCATCACATATAGTCTAATATCCTCCAACATTGAAATAATTGGCTTCTTCCTAGCATCCAATATAACATTGTTAAAGCTTTCAGACAACCCATTCTCAACTGCATCACACCCCCTTCCTATCTGAAAAAATTCTCTTGACCATGAGTTTGGATTCCTTCCCATAAGATGCACATAAGCAGCAGGGCTAATCATTTGAATCTCTTTCATTGCAGAATTGAAAAGAGGTTCAGTTGAGGCCTTACAAGCCTTCCAAAATAATTTCTCATATTGAGCCCCAAGGAATTTCTTCTTGAAATTGGAAAGAACATGTCTGGCACATTGCCTATGTTCTATCTCTAGAAATAAATCTTTAACTGCTTCAATTATCCCCTGTATTTACATCATCATAATATTCAGAAGTATATCACATTTGAAAGAAATTAGGTATGGCATTATAAAGTAGAAACATACCTTATGTTGATCTGACATCAATGTATTACCAAACCCACCTTCAAGATGCAGATCTTTTTGCAAGTTTTCTAAGAACCATTTCCAGTTGTCTTTATTTTCAACACAAACTACAGCCCAAGCTATTGGGTATATATGATTGTTACCATCCCTACCAACAACACATAATAACTGACCAGTACACATTCCTTTTAGAAAACACCCATCTAAGTTTATTATCCTTCTACAGCCACTTCTCCAACCCTCATTTAGTGCTTGAAAACATATATATATATATATATATATATATATATATCCTGCTAAAGTAAGTTTTCCCATCTGGCATAGAGTTCACAGACAACTTGACTGTTGACCCTGCATTAGACCTTTTTATCTCTTCACCATAGGACCACAAATTTGCATAATTTTCCACTATGGTACCTTCAACAAGAGAAATTGCATGTTGCTTAGCTCTCCTACATTGTCCCATACTAACCTCTACGCCAAATTTAGTCTTTACTTCCTCCTTTAACATCCTAACATTGAGTTTCTGATTCTCAAGAACTTCCCTGGTGAAATGACTACCAATCCATCTGTAATTGAGAATTGACCCTAACTTAAAATTTCTTGCATAATTGTGGTCAATGATAAGGGACTTGATTTGGAATGACTGCTCCTCACTCATCCATGATGCCCACAGCCTAAATGTACATTGACCAGTACTAAACTTAACCAATAACCTTTTACTGTCGTTTTTTTTCAAAGTACAATTGATACACATTTGCTACAGCATCATTACAAATCATAAATTTTAATTGTTGAGGGTTGGTGAACCTCATACCTAGAATTGGCAACTGCTTCTTCCAAGGTATGTCTTCATTAAACATCAATTTTCCTTTCACATCTGGGACATTATCATCTTCATCATCTTTTGGATCACCTTCTCTGACCTCCTCATTACCATTTTCCTGACTTACTCCTTCATAGGTTACTCCTTCCATGTTGCTTTCTTGTGGACTCATGAAGTCAATTAGGTCAATACCTTCTTCCCCTTCGATTGACATGTTTGACTTCACAGAACAATTATCCTCATTTTCATTTTCATTTTGCCTTACTTACGTGCACAGTAGTACCAAAATGGTCCATGTAAACAAGAACTTGTACTCCACATTGATAAGCAATGTCTATAAATTCTTGATATTGAAGTTCATTCGAAACCAAGGTTAAACCTTCTGGAATAAATCAGGTTGACAATAATAAATTTTCTCACACTTTTCTTGTGTGAATCGTTCAAGAAAACCCACAAACTCATTATATGACATACCAGCAAAATCGACGTTGTCGAACACATGATGAACACCATCAGAATAGCAAAAAGGTTTGTTGATGAACACACCTTGTAAATGAACTTTGATTGAGAGGAATATAGCCATCGATCTTCAGTTACTATGGTGGGACGAGGGTTTTCTCAATCAGGAGGGGTTTCTTCAATGAGGGGGAGGGGATTGTATAAAGCAAACGATTTATTTTATAACAAATTAATATAAGTGTACCACACGTGGCCATTTCATTAAATGACGTGTCACCGACATTTTCCCTCGTGTCATGTACATTACCTTTCAACCCGGTAAAAGGTTACATAAGGGTATTTTAAAACGGTCAAATGAAAGTATATTCCTTTAATGTGCAAAAAAAAAATAGTTTAGTGACCTTTTAAAAAACACGCGAAAAGTTCGATGGACTAATATGACATTTGCCATTGTGATAATGTACACGACGTCCTCCGCCCCCGAACGTTTCCGCCGTTCCGGTTTGGTGGTGTGACATTAACTCTTTCGAGTCGATGGTCATTGTGGATAGCGTTATTAGGAGGTAGATAACTCCTCACCCGCATAGTTCACGAAGTGCATTTTACCATTTATATCTATGTGAGCGATACACGTAGATCTCTATAGGGCACCCCTCAGTCATTAGGCTTGGGTTGTGAACTCATGGTTTGATCACCTTACACATACGAACTTTGTTTCTCATGTTAGCAACGAACTACTATTTGTACAAACTTTATTACTCATTTTAACAACGAAATTTATTACATCATTTTAACAACATACTTTATTACATCATTTTAGCCACAAACTTTATTACTCATGATGGCAACGTACCTTTGTTATGGAAACCTTTATCAAAAATTGGACTTCCATGATTTTAAAATGATGTTATATTATAAACCTGTGAACTCACAAACTATTTCCATAGTTGACCCTCATTTTACATGTTTTTTCTGGTATCATCTAGTAAGTGGCACTTAGAGGCGCATCACTTGTAAAAGCGTTATGCATGTGTCGTTTTCGATTGTATTGTAATCTTTTTAAAATTGTTCAAAACTTATTGTAAATTGTAAAGCTTTTTAATATTATGGTTGACGTTGTCTTTTAACTTTTACAATGAGACTCTTTGTACTGTTGCACCTCGTGTTTCAGCTTTAGCGGGGCGTGACAGAGAAAAACATGTCATTTATTCAATTATGTATGTTGTACTTATTTCAAGTTGTACCAAATTGTTTGAGGGAATACCATGTGTATGTTATTGTGATTCATGAGGCCTTATCGCAGTGAAGTCCCTGGAATAGTTTACACAACTCATTAAGTCTTTCGAGCCGATGGTCATTATGGATAGCGCTATTAGGAGGTAGACAACTCCTCACTCGCACAGTTTGTGTAACCATCCCAAGTTCGGAAGCAAGAAGTTGGAGGGTGCAAAGTGTAAATTTAGGAAAGGGACTCGACGAGTAGGTTCGTCTACTCGCCGAGTCGGAGCGGGATTCTATCAGGGTTTAAGTGGCCAACTCGCCGAGTCGGAGACTTGGACTCGACGAGTTGGTGCTGTAGGAAGAAAACCCTAATCCCGAGGGTTGCACCCTATTTAAAGGACTTTATGTCCTTCTCCCAGCCTCCTAATCCCCCTGAGAGTTCCAGAAACCCTAAATTTCGTGTGAGGCTTCATTATTGAGGAGATTGGAGCTTGGAAGAGGAAATTGGTGAAAAGAGCTTGAGGAATTAAAGGCTAACATCAAGGGGCTTGTGTGGATCTGGGATCTACATCTGTTTGGGCACATTTTAGAGGTAAAAAACCATAATCTTATGTTGATTTCCTTTTTGGTTCATCCTTGGTGGTTGATGTGGAGTTCCATAGCTTGTTTGTGAGCTATTTCGAGTTATAAGCTTAGATCTGAGGTTGCTACTTCAGATCTAGACTTGTGTTGGTCCAGAAAGTCATAAAGCATCAGTCTTTGAGTTGTTGGTGAAGCCCCTTTGTCATAAACCCAAGCCCTAGAGTGATTTGGACCTTTAAACCCTTGGTTTCACGTAAAGTTTGCAACTTTATAGGGTAATGCTATGCTAGTGACCGGTTAGGTCGGAATCCTGGTTAGGATATTATTATGCTATGTGATCTGTTAGACTGATAGTCTGGTTAAGGATTTGTTATGTGATTGATTGTTTTATGTGCACATGGTTGTTTGACGGGGGTTGGGTTGAGGCGGGTCCTGCTTTGTGCTGTAGACCAACATACCCAGGGCGGACCGGATATTCCGAAGGCCCAGCGAGCGGTCCGGATAGGCTGAAGGCCCCAAGAGGGCGGACCAGACGTGCTGAGGCTCGGAGAGTGGACCAGGCCGACTGAAGGCCCGGTACGGGCGGACCAGTCATACTGTAGACTCAGAGAGTGGACCAGGTGGATTGAAGGCCCGGTGCGGGCGGACCAATCACACTGTAGACTCGATGTACACGGCTAGACTCAGAGGGTGGACCAGGTGGACTGAAGGCCCGGTGTGGGCGGACCAGTCACACAGTAGACCTGATGTGCATAGCTGTTCTATTTGTGATATGTTATGAGAATGTTTATGTGTGGTTGGTATTTTAGGGGTAACTCACTAAGCTTTCGGGCTTACAGTTTCAATGTATTGTTTCAGGTACTTCAGGAGATCGTGGCAAGGCCAAGGCGTGATCGTACCGCTCCTCATGTTTTATGATTTATATGATATGGTTCTGGGGGATACTCTAATAATAAACTATTTTGAAAACGAGATGGATGAAGTTAATGGTTTTGAATGAATTAAAATGTTTTTATTTGGCTCAATTTTTATGGGTGTTACAAGTTGGTATCAGAGCCTTGGTTTGAGTGAATTGGAGGAACATTCGTGTGAATCCAGACTCAAATCAAGGAGGGATTTTCAAATGGTTTTCAAAATAAGTAAAGGAGGATGCAGAGGGTACGATCAGCCAGAGCCAGTAAGTAGACCCCAAAATACCATACAAGTTATTTGATTATGTGATATGTTAGAACAGCATGCTAGTGATATGCTAGAGAATTTCAGGAATTGCATGATAGAATTTCCTGATTATGTGATGCCTACTAGCCTAGGGTTTTCCTTATATGAGATATTCATCTTTCCTCTAGGAGTGAGGATTGAGTGGTGTGTATATGGTTAGAGTGTTGTGGTGATACTTGAGACAAATTGTTGGATTAATGTCTAAGTCCATAACTATATTTGGTATGTACTTGACCCAACCCGACATGGTCCATTTGGGTTGCACTTCACCGGCACAATTTATATGGATAGTCTTTTGAGAATAGTATATTTATGATTTATATTAATATACTATAAGTTCTAATATATTAATATGGAACCATATTATTTAATTAGTATTGATCAAGAATTAATTTAGAATTAATTAAGTGATCAAAAGGAACTAATTAAATATGGACTCTTAGATATATATGTGTAGTGGGCCAAGTTCATTTAGGTTGGGCTAAGTCTTCATGGATAGTCCATGGAGCTTTAACCCTTGGATCCTACGAAATGAAAGGTCATGGGTATTAGGGTTTAACCCTAATCCTCCACACTATATAAAGGGTCTTATGGTTCATGAAATTGGGAGCTAGTGGCTAGTGTGCATACACTAAGGAGGGCAATAACCAATTTCATAAGTGTGAGCCAAGTATCCATATTCTCTAAAGGTTTTCCAAGGTGTTTTGGTGATTTTTGATTCCACTTGAGGCTTCCACACTATTGGGGCTAAGCTCTTAAAGCTTGAAGACATCAAGCTACATCAAAAGGTATGTCATCTAACTAGAACTTTGTAGTATAGGTGCTTCATAATATGCTAGTTAGGATGAAACCTTGGAATATTTAATATTTGCATGTATAATAGAGAAAACATAGATCCAAGGTTTATAGGGTTGCATGTACACCATTGGAGTATTAGAATGCTCAAAACCCAACAGTGGTATCAGAGCCTAGGCCTGTTTTCTTGTATACTTGCAAAATCTGCTTAAAAATCGAAGTTTTTTGCTGTCTGAACAGCAGACTCGCCGAGTCCATAAAAGGACCTGACGAGTCCAAGGCAAAAAGCATCCAACTCGTCGAGTTTGTTCATGCACTCGACGAGTTGGACCCCCTGACAGCATATCTTCGAATTTTGGTGCTGGAATTGTTCTAGAATCATTATCTTAAACTGTTTTTTGGACTTATAAAACTATTTTTTGATATGGTAATGATTATGGTAAACCAATTTCAGAGTTGTTATCAACATTTCAAGTTTTATATGGTTAATTTTATGATTCTTGAAATTGTTGATATGCATGTTCTTGAACTTATGAGCTTAGATGATCATAGGAATTATGTGTAACCTTCTTGGTAGTTTAATTCTTGATCATTATGTGTTTTAATGGAGTCCATAACTTGTCCTCAAGTTATGGATAACCAAAAGTCACAAGTCATTAAATCCATTAAAAGAACACAATGGTTACATAAGATGAAAAGTCACTCATTTTAATAAGCCATTAACTCATAAGTTATGAGAAATGAAAAGTTTTGAAAGTTTACAAAACTTGCCCTCAAGCTTTGGAACATGTAAAGTCATAATTAAAACTTTAGTTCCAATCCCTAGAATTTTAAAAGTTAAAATTCAACCCTTATACTTTATAATATTATAAGTTTAATAATATTTATATATGTATAAGAACAAAAGTCGTCTTACCATTAGTAGGCCTCATTCACGAA